CTTCAGCTCAGTTTAATTTTCTTGGTTGCTTTCATCTGGGGCTTCAGTTTTCCCTTCGGAATCGTTTACGGAGGTAATCCTGTACGTCGGGTTAGGCTTCGATTGGTGCATTCCATACGAGTTACCAATTTGCAGAACGTATCTTCCGTCCAGACTGTATTCCACACGCGTCATGAGTAGCCTATCGACTGCCTCTAAGAAAATGACATGATCTATAGATCCGTGGGTACGAAGAGGCCTATTAAATGGTTATTCTACGTTGCGAAAAACTCACATACGAACCTGGAACTTGTTTCCACAATATACGACATGAGGTAGCGCTAAAACATTTTACTGTCAATATTACGGTTTGGTATCGTGGCCTTGTTTGTGATTTTGAGTACGTAATCTGTCAACTGCATCATGCTTAAGAGGTTATCTGCCCAATTGTCCACCCACGTCCTCCATCTTCTTTGCTTAAGTTACGGTAGATGTGCTACCTCATTAAATGTTAGCCGAAATTCTACTATGCGTTTTTGACTCGAAAAGACTAATCAAGTAGAGTTGTAGTATTCATCACCGTGCAGCACAATCCTATAATAATTCAGTTACTTCAGGATGCCGGTCTTTGAACGAACTTCTGCAAAAACTACAACTCTCGGTATCCCAATAAATTCAAAGAAATTTCATAGATGTGCATAAAAATATTTTATTATTTTACTCATAGATAAAGATAGATAGATAATTTTTATTAAAGACCCGTCGGGGTCCCATCAAAGCAAGTTAAAATAAATTTACATGCGAATTTTAGATGAATTAGGCAGAATCTTTACAAAATGCAATTCATAGTTTCTAGATTAGAAGTCCATTGAGAAACACGATTAGTGAGGGGTGAAAAAAAACTCCTTACAAAAATTTAAAAATGATTGGATTAATTTTACAGGAGAAAAAAACCCTCAATAAAATAATGACAGAAAAAAGCGAGCAGGACTGGCCTGTAGGTGGCGGTATATAACGGAATGTTGTCGGTCATCGTCAGGGTAGCAATAAATATCAGCCTTGATGGGTACGAATGTGGGTCAGACAGGACTGGCTTGCATATGGCATTGTATACGGGACTCACAACTGAGATCGTCTGGGCCGGATTGGTACGCCGCGTCAAAGAGGCCAGACGAGAGGAACCCAGATGCGATCGGCCACAGCACGCTTCGAGCTCAGCCGAGCAGTGGGGAAAGGAGGTACGACCGAACTACTAGTAGACAGTGAATACTGAGGGTTCCGCCGTGAGCGTCGACAGACCGCATGAGGTCGGAATGCGGGAGATGACATCAAAAACCGCGAAAATTGTCGCTATGGGGGAGGAGTGATAGCAGTGGATTTAGAAACCAAATTAAAAACAGGGGTTTCTAATGATATAATTAAGAGTTACCACTTAATCTACCACTAAATCCCAGGAGGACCCTTCCCGAAGTCAAGAATCTGAGTGTTCGGGAATGAGACCGTTAACAGTGCCTTTATGCTTTTCGGTGTAAGATGGTTGAGTAATTTCGACTTGAATACCAGTAACTTAGGCGATAATCTAATTTCAGGCGGAAGATTATTCCAAAGGAAGGCATATTTGGAAGCAAAGAAGAGGGAGCGCTTAGATGTAGTACAAAGAGGCGGCGGAATCACCATGCAGGAGTTACGCGTGGCATTAGACCGGTCTCTCGGAGTGAGTGTCAATGGGCGGAAGACTGGAGCTAGAGTTGATGCGAAAAAGGAAGCAAAGGCCAGCTTCGAGTCTTCTAACCCACAAAAACTTAATGTTCGCCAACTGACATCTCTCAGTATAAGAAATACCGGACGAAGCTTGAGAGAACAGTTTCCGGGTGAAAACCCTCTGAACATTTTCGATCTTATAGCGATCACATGCGTTCATTAAACCAGAGAAAGGACAGCAGTATTCGAGGACAAGAGGAACAGACATTTGATAAAGTCTTAGCTTCATTTCCGGAAGGAAAAAATTATGCGATATGAATCCACATATCTGCGCGGCTTTGTCAGAGATTCTATCTGCACGAGGTGATAAAGCTAGCTTGATATATGTTGATCTTTTCCAGCTCGTAATCCAGATAATTATGGCAAGCCTCTTCAAAAACCGAATGAAATGTGCGACTGCCCCTTTACAGCTGGCCAGATGGACTGAAATCCACCATATATAATACTCGGAAATTTATCCACCTGGAAAATTCTTTCAATTTCTGGCCGATAGCAAAGTTCTTCAATTTCCATGAAGGACATATATTTCATGCCTTCCGCCCTTCCCCCACAAACAACCAAACTGCACACTTCATTTTAATATTGTACATGTGGTTCTTCCGTAAAACTTTTTTGATTATTTTTCCTTGGAACTCAGGTTTTTTCAACTTAAAACAAACTCTCAATTCCCGCTCTTTTGGCTAAACATACACCCAAAACAAATGGTGTCAAAGTGCAGTCGAAATGGATGAGTTTATTTTAGGTTTATTGCCTGTGTTCAAGGGAGACTGACAGTGCCCTAGGGACGCTATAATAAATCTATTCTATTCTATTTTACTGGGGTTCTTGCAATTTCAAACTCTCACCTCAATCAACGATTTCGCGGTTGCTGATATCATCCCATCATTTTGACCCCAAGCGGTCTGTTGGTGGTCGCGGTGGAATCTTCTATTTTCGCCACCTGCTAGTAGCTTGGTCGGTCAGCGAAGAGGTCTCATGGTCGCATCTCCCCGTACATTTTGGATTACTGACTCAGCCTTTAATGCCCCCTACTCGGTTGGACTCTAATTGGACTGCGACTGATCGTGTCTGGGTTCCTGTCATCTCGCCCCTTTGACGCAGATAGCCTCATCCAGCCTAGAAATTATGTTTTGGCGATGAACGTTTCGAATTTCTTATACATTACCACATGCAGGCCAGTCCTGTCTGACCAGCATATAATAATCACAGTACTATAATATTATTATAATATATTTATTATTATATTATTATCTAATAATAATATTGTAATTTATAATATAATAATAATAATATAATGACTGTAAGCTGGCATTGAATAGAATTATTACATTTTTATATTATATTATCCTTTCATGGGCAACGGTTTTTTATCATCTTAAAATCTCGTCAATTCATATTCATTTTGTATTTTTCGAAAAAAGGAGTTTTCTTTCACTGGTCACTAACCGCTTCACATAAGCATGAACTACATACTGTACAGAGTCTCTCTACTTGTTCCGAAATTCACTTGAGGATATATTTTCACTTGCTGTGATAGTGCCCCTGGGGGTACCTGATGAAGCAAATTATCTTTTTATTTAAGTTTCCAAAGTCGCATCAGCTACTGCCGAAGTTACAGCAAAAGAGACGAAAGAACCTATCCCAAGGTATGGCTCCCCCATAGATATTGTGGCAGAAGATGGCACTCGGTTCATGTCATCACTGCTCGAACAATTCTGCCAGAAATGGGGGATCCGTCAAGTGGCATCACCGCCATCTCAGCCACTATCAAATGGCCGAGCAGAACGTTTTGTTGACAGCTTCGAGGGACCAGTGGGAGATGTAGGGAACGACCGTGTTAAAATGGACCACCTCAACACGTTCCTTTTGGCATATAGAAGACCCCCGACATGTGGTTTCGACTGCCACAGACAGCCGAGCGTTTTGGGCCACAAAATGACGTTCGACTGCAGGACATGAAACCTGAAATTCGGGTTTCCAAACCGCAAAAAAACTAATTCCGGATTGAAGAAGGAGTCGTTGCCCGAAATTAAACGCTCGGCGAAAAACCTTAGGTAGAAGGCAATCAGAAATTTGAGAGACGTTGTCTTCGAAGTGGAAGTCGCAGCGGCCAAAATTAAACGGCATGCAAACCAACCGGGACGCAGGTAGAGCTCAAGTGGCCAAATAGCCCTCGATTTGCTGTGTGGCGCCTTTTAAATGCCAATCCCCAGAGTAGAAACGAAAACAACGCCACCTCCAGGCTGTAATAGTCATCGGAATACACAACCACCGAAAAGACTCATCTTGTACACGAAGAAGAAAAGTGATGAGCTTCACCTTTCAAAAAATGGAGGTGTCACAGAGACAGGAACTGCAATGGAATCGCGGTCCAAATCCAAAAGAATACGCGGCCACTCACGTCGCATCGGGTCAATCGGGCTGAGAAATACGCACGTGAAACCAACTAGCTAGGTCGGCGTGCGCTGCAGTATCGAATACGCGTGAAGCCCTTACTCACACGTGCGACTAGAATTTTCGAGATTCCGCAAGAAGCTTTCAATGTGAGAAGCGGCTAGCAAACGTGTGCTACGTCATAGGCCAGAATATTCCAGAATGCCCACCGTGATTTTCCAGCCATTGGTCGGAAGGTTCGAGAACCGTCGAGAATCCTATAAATGCGGGTTTATGTGCTAGGGAAGCGCTGCTTTCCGTTGACCTAGAATGGAGTGCTTGTTTCCAGAACTCGTCTTCCCTCTCTTTCATCACCGCCGCAGAGATGGAATATTTGTCTTTAACTCCGTTCCTAGTCGTCCAAATTCCTGATATGCGCTTAGAGCTTCAGTGATTCTCTTTGGTTTGCTAGGTTTGTAGAGATGTATGTGAAAATATACTACACGTTGGGATCCTGCAAGCTTGGCTATAGCTTCGAATAATTATGTGTTTATCTCTCAGGAATGACATCTAGGTAACGTTAGAGCAGTTGAATATTCTCAGGGTGTTTTATTGAGCTGTAACTTAGGCGGACAAAAAGGGACAGGGGATACTTTGCTGACGTTCTTTGGAATGCCGTCGGCCTCGGGGGCGCAGGTCGCGGCTATCCTTTTGGGCATGTTGTTTGTGGCTTCAGGGTGTCTTAAGACGATAAAAATAAGCACCACGTTGCATCGGGAGATGGTAGGACATCTTTATGCCTTATCCTGCAGTTGAAAGTCTTCAAAAACTTGACTGACGTTTGTCCACTCAAATTGGTCGGGTTTCACCCATCTCCAGTAGTCTACATGCAAATTGTGGGAGTCGTCGAACTGATTTCTGGGACAGCCCTTGTGCTTGGGACCCTTCCATCACAAAAGATTGCTTGTGTTGGCCTCATGTGTATGATGGCTCTCACTTCTTACAGCCAAATGATTCTGCGTGACTTTGGCAGTGTATGTTTGATATTTCAAATAATTATTCGCCCTAGACCGTCATGCCAGCCGGATACATTTTTCTCCTACTATGGCTTTACGCCTCCCTCACACGTTCGGAAATTCAGCTGAAGTCGAAGGTGTCCTGACTTCTATCCAATTGTTGGTCTCTTCGGCCAAATGGCATTTACTTTGTATCAACACTGCGATGTTACTAGACAATTGTTGTTTTGCACGAGTCTGATTGGATGTTTACTACTCAGGCAACTTCTGTCGCTTTCAGTCCCTCATTGAAGTTTACTATGTAACCACGTCTTTGTGAGAGTGCTTGCCAGTGGCCACTTAAGGACCTGCCGTCCCTTTCACCGGCTAACTCCTAACGGACGACTTTTGATTCTGCCATTTTGGTGGATCGCGATTCTCCCGGCTGCTTTGTAAACTTTTGTTCATAGCACTATGACTTCTCCTGAACGCTATGTACCTATTTCAATCCTTCGTGTTTCAGTAGGATGTTTTCATTCTGTTTTCAGTTGTTTTATCGGATCGCACTAAGCATTGTTTCACACACGGTTTACATTCTGTGGTTTATTGCTCTGGTTGAAAGTGCATACTAGCCGTCCGATTCCGCTATCCATGAGCACGCCCTTGCCGTTCTTGCAGTTGTACCTCTACTGAAAGTACACCTTCGAAAAATCCATTGGGTGTGGGTCTGACTAGTATTTCAAGCATACGACTGTTGCCATACCGGAGATGGGACGACAAGATCGTCTTCGTGACTTTCCTCCCAATGGGTTTGAGGAGGAGAGTGCAATATGGCTTTCCATTAGTGATATGAGTTCTAATTAACAAATGGGCTTTTAAAGACGAACCTACTCCATTTTAAAAATTTGATCAAACCTTATCTAGAGATGACGCTTTGTGAGCAGGTTTTCTTCACAAGAAAACGAAATTGAAACTTGTTCGCCAGACAGGTCAAATGGTTGTCCAGAATTCCTTATTTGAGTCGCAGTCATTTATTCTTTCTCTTGCAGTCGCTCACATTTAAAAGTCGTTATTTGCACCTTAGTTTGCCATAAGATTATGTCGTTTCTGTCTGTAGCAGCCCTGGTGGGTTGCTCCTCGACGCCGACCTCTACAGTTGTTGCTGCCTTACCGTGTAATTATTTTACGTTTCTCAAAGTTCTAGGCCGTTTATCTTGAGCATCCATGTCACTCTCAGACTACTTAGTCTCTTTCTCCCACTCCGGACCCCCTTGCTGAATTCGGAATTATAAATTGCTATGGCCCAGGATGTGCAACCTAAAAGTACTTTGGGCTAATTTCAGAGTCAAAGGATACTTTGCGCCGGTCTGTCTTCAACTTTGTCGGTCAGTTACACAGGTGTAGTTAAGTAGAGTTGCAAGTTTTGCTAGCAGTCTCCATAGTTGGTAGCGACCGTGCTATGAGCGGCCTCCCTTATCCAGACGCGTTTTAGGAAGAACTGCCGTCGAGCGTGGAGGTTTAAAATCTCTTCTACAGTTTTATGCATGTCTTGAATCATGAGTGAAGTGGTTTTAGGTTAAGGTTGTGCTGTACGTAGCGAAGTATAGCTTTATCGTAATGGTTAATCTGTTATCTTCTGTTGGATTGCAATCAGTCTTGCCAGCGTTTTAAATGCTGGTTAATAACTGATAAAAGTATATCCGCTTGTTATATGTTCAATACTTGGCTTATTTTTGATGGTCATATGAATTGTGGCAACCGTATTTCTCTAGCTGAATTCACTTACCAAATGTCTAAGTGCTTTGGTGACCTAGAAGATTCAGGTGATGCCCAGACTTTGGTAGTCGGCCGTCTACTTTTGATTGAAAACTGATAGAAGACAACTTTTTGATATCAGCCAAGGCTGTCATACTCCTTTTGTGTGTGACACACTGCATCAACGGCGTTTTGGGGACAGACTGTTTCGTGTGAAAACGCGAACGGCTGCTAGTTTACCAAGATGTGCGTGCGCTGTGATCCGGACACACATAGGCGTCACGCCAGTCGGTCGACCCGCACGGCTCAGATGCACACTCGCGGACGTGTATGGGAGACAAGGGCGGACTGGGCCATCCATGAGGGCGAACTGTCGAGTTAATCCTCGTCTAAACTGGGATCCTTTGTCGTGGATCGATGGTGGAGAGTTAGTTTAAGCCTAAAAGGACGCGAGCAACAATACAGTCTGGCAAGAGATCACGAAGCCCATTCTGTAGTATGCGGATGGTAGGAGTGATCGAGATGGGGGAAAGGTATTAGAGGAACAGTGGATTACATGGCGCATCCAAAGAGATCTCGAGGACGGCAGCCTTGTGCTGGCAAACTCCGACGAACGTGTCTTGTTCAATCGTCGGCTACAGAACGCATTCATTTTCTGGAAGACCATCCGGAAGGATTCGTCGCGTGGTGTCTGCGGTTACTTTTGTATTGGATCACAGCGGGGAAGAGACGAACATGGCACGTGTGACATTTTTGAGCCCAAGATTCGGAGGAGGGTTGAGCGCAGGGGGGTATCCGCACAAATTTTGGAAGCTATACTCGAGATTCACAAAAATTTAATCGTTGAAATCACCATGTTCGGTACGCGGGCGGTGGTCCAGAAAACGAGTTCCCGGGCGTAACAGTAGAGGTCCGAATTCGGAACTGAGTAGATCCAAAGGAGTGCCACTGGGAGGTAATCTGTGCAGATATTTGTGGTGTGTCAAGTCTCCTGGAAGTAACAGTAGAGCCGCATGAACAGTACGTTGGTAGCCGTGTAGAAGGCGATTTTTCGGATTTAAATGCATTTAAAAACTCGAGTGGGGATTAGAGGGAGTGCGTTAGAACTGGGCATTGCAATTAGTGACTGCGTTTGAAAGGACAGTGATAACACGTAAGCCAGAGGGGACGACCTTGACTACTATGGTAGCCATATTGGCTTAGGCCAGCGACTGAGCCGGTCGACGCGGATCATTAGCTAGCTGCAACCACTGAAGCGACGGTGTGCTTACATGTCCAGGTGATTCAAGTGCTAGTGTCGGGTTTTGGCTTGTAGCTTTCGCAAACGTCCCAATGGCAGCTGAGGCGCGCCATTCCACAAGTATTGACACCATCATGCGTTTGAGTCCACACAAACCCGTCGACGGGAAGCATTTCCGCCGCTCTTGTCCCTGGATGGACGAGTGCACTAAAGCAAAGCAGGAAGTAATAGGGAACTGTGGGAAACGGGTGGAGAGTTCATAGGGGACTTACTGTCACCAGAGACATCGTTATAACTTACACGCCGAGTTCGTCTCGGAAGAGACAGTCCACGCTCACTGCGAAAAAATCGCAAGGAAACCCGACTGACTTGGTTTGAGTGCACTCTTTGTCGTTCGTCTCTTTAAGTCAGCGTTTCTGTCATCACCATCGCACCGAAGAGGAGGCCAGTCTGAAACCTGGCTCGACACAGTTCTTCAAGCCATGGAAGTGATATATTGACTTTCTATATTCGACCTCTTGTCGTTGGAGGAGAGAATGAGCCGAGCTCACGAGATCCTCTCCCGCGCATCGTCATGTATGAAGCGAATATATGGCCTCATGAGTAAACGTAACAATGGACGTCCTTGACCTTTTATTACGCATTTATTCATTGATATTTTGGCAGATTTTGAATAATTCATATTGACCCAACTGTGAAAAACTCGGTGCCTCGGTGGGATTCGAACCCACGCAGTAAGGGGGAAGGCATTAGTACAGCCTACGCTCTAACCACCTGAGCTACGAGGCCCCACCGGACGACGCGACCCTTACTGCGTGGGTTCGAATCCCACCGAGGCGCCGAGTTTTTCACAGTTGGGTCAATATGAATTACGCATTTATGTCAATTTCATAACTAACTGGTATCCCAAAAAATGGGTTTTTGCTGTCCTATACTAGGCTAGCAATGTTTTATGGAGAAACTAAAATCAACCCCGCAGCGGTTAGCAATCGGTAATGACTGCGGCTCTCAAATTCATCGGATGTGTGAAAAGCATGAATTTCGACGAAATGACTGTATTCTCACTAGTTGTTTCTTGAACAACGCGTCTTTTGCAGAAAACATAAATTATGCCTGCTCAATGATAGGGAACGCTGAGTATGAGAGTTTTTTCAACCTTCGTGTTGACCGTATTGTCACTAATCGACATAACAAGACAGCTTTCTAGACAGACAGATTAGCCGGACATTTATTCAGGCCCGACCAACATGTTTGTGTTGAACCTAGGAAAATCCCAAGTAGGGTAATCTATAACTAAGGTAAGACTGTGTGACCTGTCTGTTATAGATACCATACCGATTGTGGATAGCAGAAAATCGGAGTAGCTTTGTCTTCGAAGGCAGGCATCAGGTTGGAAGTGCACTTTCGCGTTCGTCGTTACTTTCTCACTTATCATTTCTCGTCCTTCGACCTGACGAGCTAATCAGACTAATTACATGAAATACCGTTTCACTGCTGCCGAAGTTTCCGATTTACTGTGCAACCAGTAGACAATTTTCTTTGTGCTCATATGAATAGTATATTTTTTCAGCTAGTTATGAAGTCAGCTCCATTAGGTTCGGCAAACTTAGAGCAGAGGTCATTTGATGCCGATCATGCGGTGACAGATTTTCTGCTACCTTCAATTTCGTTCATTGAGGGGAAACATCCTATCTATGATTTAAGATTGAGGGTTGTACACAGGAAAAGTAACTGTTTTCGAAGAAGTCACATGAAGTCAGTGATATTTCGAGCATGAATATTGGCATTGCCTTACCCTTGATCAAGGGTGGGCTACTCTGTCACCGTTAAGGTCCCTTATAGAACGAAAATCTGTCAAGGCTCTTTCTAGAGCTTTCCACCGATGGTGACACAACGACATCTGCTGAGAAACCATCCCGTGGTTTACTCACTGAGACGTGGTAGGATGGCTTCCGGAAATCCAGTTGTGCATGTTGAACTCGAAGTTTTGATAGGTGACCTGAAAGGCTGTCGATGGTGGTGAATTCAAAGGAATTGCTGAAAGCGCGGCTGCGATCTAAGCCGTTTACAATGCGCAGTGCTTGCAAAAGATCTCCACCGGTTCAAACAATGTGAATGTGTGCAGTCTGAGCGCTACCATAATCAGGGCAAATCCCATGTTGGAAGGAGGAAACGGAAGGCACCAGAATGAGGGGTTTAATGTATACAGAACTCAGAGTTGTCCTCTCAGGCGACAGTAGCCACAGGCGAAGCCAGGGCTGGTGTTTACTGCGTCCAGTCAGCCCTGAGAATCTCTGGGACGGTGAGGGTAGCCGCTTTTGTAGGCTCGTGGACCAAGCTCAAGTGGTATTCAGTCAGTGTTTGTTGCATTTGCCGAGGGGTGGTGTCCCAGTGGCTAAGTTGTGGTTGCGGGGGAGCGGTGCGTTCAAGTGGCCTCGTGGGTAGCTGCGGCTGTGCGGACGCAGGTATGCCCGAGCTGTCGGCCGTGTGACTTCAGGTAAACGCGTCTGAAACGGCTCACTGCAAAAAGTGTGAATGATCTTGAGACAGCGAGGTCTTGAACAATGACGCCAGACCGTTCATGATGGCTGCCCGCCACAAAATCCAAGGGGAGACTTATGTTTTGTTGGGTGAGTTACATAAGTCAACGAGCCTTAACGACTGGCCTTCTTGGTGGTCTTTCTTTGGATTCTTTCTAAGGACCTGATTTTAAATTGTTCAATGTTTTCGGGCTTGGATTACATGCACCAAATTCAGTTTCACATCACCGTCCTTTGAGGTTGTTGCGTCAAGTAAATGGGTTCTTTCAACTACAGATCTGGCTAGATCACAGAAGTCAACGGCAGCAACATTCGTTCAGCCGATTTAGGTCAGCCTGCAATTTACTAACAGCGCTACAGGCGACATTCCAACTGTTCAGTCATCCTCAAGCATTGTTTTTTCACAGTACCGATGTCCTACACAGTCGTAGAGGATCTTTCTTCCGGAAGCCCTGTATGTAGTTCTGTAGCGGGGTGTTGATCACTAGAATTTTCTGTAAGTTACCATTTATGATTCTCCGAATGACTTTGCGGAGTGTACACTTCAAACCTATTATCGAGCTCTTTGGGTGCGTATCAATAAGACTATTAATATTATTATTATGAGCCGGTGTTCGGTTTGGCGGATTGACAACCAAAAACTAGTGTTGTCGATGCTACCTGGTGTTTTGTCAAAATTATACCCAAGAAATTGGCTTTTTTTTGTTTACATGTCATGCTGGGAATCATAACACTGGTTTAAGAAGTGCTCCACTAAATTGCTGGTGCGCTGCAGTCATCCATGGTCGTGGCACTAGACCAGATGCAGAATTTCATGATGCAGAGTGAGGACCTTGAAAATGAGCTCTGGAGTGTATGTCGATGTTTGATATTATATCACACCTACTTATCAGTTAACAGTAAGCACACTTCGCGATAATAAGCAGGAGGCAGCTAAGAAAGGGGACGCGATCGCTGGAACATGAATTTTATCCAACTGACGCTTTGGATTCACGCTCGATCGCTTACTCGGGATCTGCAAGAGAAAGGGATACTGGACTCGGCGGGGTCTGGTATTTAAGGATACATCTGCTATGCAAACATTCGGTTGAGCCGTGGGGTCTGACCTCAGTCGAACTTAATGGCCGGATCTAGCACTGGAAGTCGTCACCCCTCACAGTTCGCAGATCACTACGACCCAGTGTCGAACAGCATGCTGTAAGGCAACTCAAGCTTGATAAGGAGATTGTTACGGCACCCACGGAAACGAGCATTTCACCATGTATTGACAAAGATGGACTATCTTCAGTAAAAAACTGAAGAAAGGTCTGTGACAGTCCGCCCGCGTAGTCGCGTGCAGGACCGCCTATTCGTGCACCCTTCTATCCGCCTCACGCTCCCTGTCAATCGGTAGCTTCAACAGTGCGAGACTTGGCACCAGCAAGGTGAGAGGTCGAGGATAATTGACGCTGCGTCCTCGATTGCTCGGCTGGGTAAGATCGCAGTTCGTAACCTGACATTTAAGTCAACATTGTTTACGTACTTGTCTGTTATCAGTAGGTGTGTTTAAACTAAGTTACACAGTTCTCCCGCGTCGGTCAGGCTGGGGTGTAACGCATTTGGCCTCGCTTTCGGGAGCGTTGTTCGTTGTCTTACCATTGCCATACCCCCTGCATATACTTACAGCTTACTTAAAGCTTGTTCCATCTAATCTGTATTCCCTGACTTTTGATTTTGGGACCTTCGTGTTGTCAACTATAATACTGCGACGATCGACGACTCCTGAAGAATGCTACTCTTCCTTCTTCTCAATACCCTATTATAGTCAAGCATTGACGATGAACAATCTTCCACCAGAATTTCAGCATATTTTGACACGCGTTTCTGGTTTCTTTTCGGCTATCCAACTTACGCAGATGATCGGACGGCTTATGGAAGTGCACACCCTCGCCGAACCGTCACTGCCAGTGTTCTCAACTTAATCTGTCTCTTCTGCGTCTCTTCTCTCATGCTTGAAGTCCGAGGTTGTGAAGCTCGCCCGTGATATGACTATCCTTCAAAAGCAAACAGCCATCCTTTCATCCCGGATTCCTCTGAGGTCATGTGTCTGCCATGTCAAGCCTACTCCTTCATTTCGTCCCAACATAGCCGCCACCTACCTTTGGTGCCAAAGCCCGTCGCTGTCCATTCCCCTGCGTTTTCGTCTACTAGCAGGACAAACGGATCAACTCGAAGGTCAGTGCAACCAATCTCTCTGGAAGCCCTAGCCCTGACCGCTCCTTCTATGTCTGCGATAACCGGAGTTGCAGACTTTTCCTGGTCAGGACTGGCACGCAGCTGAGTGTCATCCACTCCACAGCAGCCGATCATCTGCGTCCAACCCCGACCTCTTCCCCCAGGCCGTCAACAGCTCTCTGATCGTTACCATCGGTACCTGTTCTATTTCCCTGGGTATAGTCCCTAAGGTCGTCAGTGATGACTGGCGCTACTGCGGTGACTACCGGGCCTTAAACAACGTCACAATCCCGAACCTTTATCCCCTCCCGCATCCGCATCGCCTCTGCCCTGTCTTACAGTAGTTCTGTTCCTATAAGACTCAGAATGAAACGCTTTTATGAATACAAGAATAAGGCCTTCACCACTAATGTCGACATTTACTGTTGCACATTTTCCCAACCTGTCTTTATTTCATTTCTAAGCTGGCGCTTCGCGCACCTCACGCACTCGTATCACATGCACTAATTGGGAGGCGTTGCACTCAATCAAAACGTGACAATGCACATTTCCACCTTTTGGTCAACCGACGGTTTCTTTGAAAGGACAATAGAGGATTGATGCGTTTCACTGTGTTTGTATAATGGTAGAGGGGCGCTCACTGATCATTTCTACGGAACTCACTCGTCCCGTTGTGCATTAGGGCTCTCTCTCGAGTTCAACCAACAGCCGTACAACGGCGTATGATATAGGCAGAATGGTATTACCGACAAAGACAATGGAGACTGGAATGGCCATTTCTGGCTCACTGGCCGTCGTCAGCCAGTCATACCCAACCTCGAAGTGTGGAACACGAGGTTCCAACTCGCGACGTATTAGTTAGAAGTCTAACGCCTCTAACCACTGTGCCACGGGCCCATTGTCCTGTCGGTTGCGATCGGGAATATACAATGGTGTTTGTATCGCGTTCATCATCTCCCGAAGAAGACGAAGAAGAAGAGAGGGCGAATTCATGCACGTTGATTTGACCACAATTACGCCGACCCCAAAGGGAACAAAGGTCACGCAGGCCTGTCAGCGGTCAGTCCCGGGGAGGTCTAAGTCAGTCAGCGGCAAACAGGCAGGTCGAAGTTCGTGCGTCCAGCAAGGCTATAATACGAGGCAAGCGGCAAGACTGAACAACTCAAGACCGACAAGTGCAACAATTACGCTACTCCGATGATGGAAACGATGAAGTTTCCGAAACGCCAGTTCGAATACAATATGGTCCATGAATTTGCCCTCTATTCTTCTTCGTCTTCTTCGGGAGATGATGAACGCGATACAATGTCTGGACCTCGAATCTTTACGCATATCAATGGTGTTTGTATAGTCCTAAGTATTGAACATGAGCGCCAAGTCCGTCTGCCGAACTATTTAATCGCTGGGACCAATGCTTACTTTCTCAATCGGGACAAAAATTTGTCTGTTTACAAATGACATGCAGTAGGTGACCTGTCTGAGGAAAAGGTGTCCGAATTTACGAATAATTGGTAATCACTTGCAAACCGGCACAAATAAATGGACCCAATGTCTATATTAATAAATAACAACTTTACGGGAATTGGAAACGTAAAAAAGATATAAAGGGTAATGTTACGTTGTGTAGAAATACCATTTTTTAGAAAAGCGAAAAATCTCGAAAACGCCAGAAGTGGTTGTAATTCAGTAAGCTTTGTTTCGATATGTACAAAGAGCCTGTTCGTACAAAACACTAAGTAAACATGACAGCACAAATATAATTACCTCTGAAAATAATCTTCTAATGAAGTTTACATTTGAATATCCTTTAAGAGTTAGTGAAATTTTAGGCATTGTAGATTGCCTACAATCTGAGCATAGATTCCAAAACGGTTTCCCGAGAATTTGTTGTACTTTTTCGCTTTTGTATCAGTTGAGATGTGGTTTACTTAGGTAAACGGGATTTTGCTTAACTTCACCGATAGGTACATCATAGGGACAAACGTTTCGTAAGGTCGTATGTTGCCAGATCGGTCGGTGGCCAATAAATTGAGATGGAATTGACAGGTGTAATCGCAAATATACCATGCTGTGTATATAAAGAGAACCCTTCTCCCATGAAATAAATTTGCAATTTTCCCTCGTTCTGGATTGCGTTTAGCTTCAGATCGGTCTTCAGATAGCGCTGAATACTTCATGACTTCCAGTTTATGTCCGAAAATACTTGGGTCAAGACTTATTGGCACTCATTATAACCTTAGTGTTCAGCTATCACTCACATAATTGCAGATTTCCTCTGATGATTCATTAATTCGTTTCGTTTTTCTTAGTATCTCAGTGTGGAGGTAATGTTAGCGACCAAGCGCGGACAAGGCAGCTTGAATAGGTTGACCTTTACCGTATTTTTTCGAAGCAAAATAGTCTTTTGGATGGATTTTTTGACGCAGTTCATGCCACGCGTGAAGTCGCCAGACAAGAGAAGGCGAAATCTGTGAGGCGTTTCTACAGTTATGATTTAACCACATATTTCCACCCCTACATAGAACTTCAAGAAACTCCATATGTTTTATTCACCTTGACTTTCTGAAAACGCCAAGCACAGATAGTAGCTAGGGGCGTGAGGATCATCTGACATTGAACAGGACAGCAAAGTGACCCAGAACACTGTCACACTTCCTCACTTAAATGCTCACGTGACTATGTGTGTGTGTGTGTGTGTGTGTGTGGAGACCGTTTTACTGCCACTTTTCTCGTTAGTAGAGTCTGCAAATTATTTTCCGAGCGATATGCTTTGTCGACGTCGCCCTGGAAATTCGCCCCCAGTTTCCGGCGCTGACTCTCATGGCCTGAAGTGCTTTTTGACATAATCATGACATCAGTCTCAAAAAAAATTTCGGGCATGTTCTGCTGGCGCCAGCTACCTGCCTGGATTTACATGCGTTCCTTACGAATGTCCAGCCAGTCTTTAAGTCTCTACCGCGAGTTTTATACTCTTGTCAAATGTCTGTCCATTAATAAGGTAGATAATCTCCGGTTAGTAGGAGCACCTCGTCGTCGCAAGGTCGGTCGATAATTAGGCAGCTTTTACCATCAAGTCAACAATGCCTTGCCAAACAGTGGCAGTCACTTTGCCAACTGGAATAGAGATGGATAGTAGGACGCAGGCGATAACAGCGGAGGAACGAAACGCAGTGAACTGTGGATTGGATACGGCAAGATTATCATGGTTCTCTTAGCAATTAAGGAAACGTTCACCTGGGGAATGTTTAAACGATGTTAATATTAGCACACAAAGCGATAGGTACCAGAATCAACTTGCCGCCAATTTTTATAAAGACTATAAATAGTGTTAAATCGTGAGACACATGGCGTAATGAGTAACGTGCCTCTTCTCACATGCGGAGATCTGCGGCTCGATCTCCGGTGAAGCACTGACGTTCTCTACCGTGGTCGTAACCCAAACCCATTTCTAACTTCCAGGCGTTGGAACAGACCGGATACAAATAATTCCAGTCCTAGTGATAGATTCTCCATAAGAGTTGTTGCTCTCAAAAGCAAATTTTAGGTAGTTTCTGGCCACCACCAACACCTCCTTCTAAACAATGAAATGTGAAGTGGACACTGTACAATAATCGTGGGGAGTTTGCCTCGATAGGTACTCAGAATATTTTACGTGATCTTGTTTACGCACCAGTCTCTTCTTCCCAAGCCAGGAGTGGAGAACGTATTTCAGCGTCCTCAGCAATTACGGACAATAGCATACTTCAACTATTCCTCAATTAGGGTCTGACCTTGTGAATCTTGGAGGCGGGACACGACAGCATGGATCCCTGTGAACCAGGTAGCCTCGGGCTAAATTCTGGGTGGAGTTAGGGTTAGATTTAAACTTAGGACACAGGAGTAGGTAGTCCCCGGAATTTAGCTCAAGGCCACCTGTAACACGGGGGTTCTTATTGCAGCGTCCAACCGTTCCGAATTTCCGGAAACCCCAAACGGAGAAGGCCGGCTGTGTAAAATCATGGGACCTGGACGGCCACCCTACAGACCCTCCGGCCAGCAAATCCGCGGCCGAATACCTCGTTGGGGTAATCACGCACGACATTGACATAAAGTGGAGCAGTTCTGTGCCGTCAGGACTAAAATGGTCAGTTTTGTCGCACCTTAATCATCTGTGTGCCGTCGTCTTCAGATCAGCTGTCCGTTCGGTTGTTACTATTGTGTGAGGCGCCGACAGCTGACCGGGTTAATGGGCCTGGTGGTAAGAGAACGTTATCGATTCAACGCGACTCGATGTTGTAGTCTGATTGACTAGACCCGACAACCCTGTTACTGGACAGCCATTTGCCGAGTCGACTAAGGCGCACGCACGCACGCACGCACGCCCACCGTGCAGATTGTACGCTCATTGGTCAGCGAATCATGCGGCGTACTCCGTCGGCTATGTACTGATGTGATATGATATCGATGGAAATATTTACGGATACCTGAAAAAAAATGAGTGAGATTAAATTAGTATGCCATTTCTAAGTTCATCCGAAACTTTGAGATTGTCAGTGCAGTGGCGACGCAATAACCGCATAAAAATAACGGATGTTGCCCTCTTTACGGCTTCCTTACTATGAGGGGCGGCGGAGTCACGTGTCGCCCGTCTAGGACGTCGACTCTTGGTGTTATTTGGATCGACCATGGAAAGGACTGTCTTGAGTGGGTGTCTGTAGTACCTTTCACTCCTTTCGAAAGGTTTTCTGAAGAAAGTGGCTAGTTAGTA